AAAATTTGATAAAACATTGTTTCTTTATTTGCTCTATTTATTGCTTTATGTATCTCAATGCATGTTTTTTTACTGCTTTTATCAAACATAGAATGCATGTGTTAAGGACAAATAATGAAAGAAATAAAAGTTGTTTAGATTAGGGAGAACCTAGAAATCGTAACACTAGGGAATTACTCAGTTTAAGTGAACTTAGCCTTGACCTAGGTTTGAACTATACCTCCACTACCCTTTAATTAATTCACTATAAAATTATCAAAACAAATAAAACTTTTAATAATAAGATTGGAGGACCTGAAGACTTGAAGACCTGAAGACACTTGAACAAGGGGCAAACTTCGTGGGCAGCTCGTTCAAGGCCTTTTCTTTAGTTTAAATAATAATCCTTAGGATTTTGAGGTTGTCTTTGTCTTTTATGACATTCTCTTTTTGTTAGGCTCCTGCATAGTCCCGATATGCAACATGTCCTAACTTATTTTAGGATTCTGAGGTAGTCACTCGACATAAAACCTTCTATCTTTCTAGGCTTTTTGTGTAGACCATCATTACACAAATTTAAGCCTAATTAATAAAACTGGCAAGAGTTGACTTAAATTAATATCATCTTAAATTGAGCCAAACATTAGGATAGTTTGGGGGATTACCAAGAACCTACCCTGGATCTTTAATCTCCCCAACTTTTCTTTCTTTGATTCTTAAAACAAAATCTTTCACTTTTGAACCAATCCCTATTGAAAACTCCACAATTATGTTCGTCGAAAACCCTTTCTTTTGAACTCATGAAAATAAAAAATTCCAGATTTTTATCGAGTCTTCTTAGGTGATCCGTCGCTTAAGATATAATCCACTATAGGGGCTTGCCCTTATATGGCTCATAAACGAACACGAACCCATACATATTTGGCACAATACATATTATGCATATTTATCTCATCTCATTTTACCATAGTCTCATTGTAGTGGGAATGATGATTTTTCACATAAGAATCTCTGTTACATAAACATAGTTAATATATTAATATTTACTGTTTTAAATTTTGCATATTTGATCTGATAATAGTTTAAAAATTTAATTTTGATTACATCTCAACAATTGAAATTAGTGACAGTGATTTCAATTGGCTTTCTGTGAATTTCCTAGCAAATTTGTCATTTCCAATTTAAACATTCCCCGTATGATCGATATTTGGGGCTTAAATAGAAAGTCCAATATTACTTGATAATGATACGTATACTTGCGTAGAATCCGAATATTAATTGAAAGTTTACACAATATATCACAACAAAAAAGTCGGATCAATATTAACAAAGCAAAAACTGGAGAAACACCTATTGTTAGGAGAAAAGCAAAGAAGAAAAAACAATCAAATATAAAATATAATGTGGCTGACCCAGCAAAGAGGAGGCCAAAAGCTGTTTCTACTTCTAGACCGAAAGGATATTGGGAGAAAAATAAGAGATCAAAGAGTATATTTCTCTACATTAAATGAACTGCTTCAATATAAGTTTTATTTCCCTTATCTAAACATAAGCTCTGCTTACAGGAAAATATCTTGAAGAATCAACAAGACGGGAACCTGCTATTCCATCTGATCCAATTGTACCTAACAGTCTAAGTCAGGTATAAAAATGAAATCTAACATGTTTTTCATTAAAGAGTTTTTTAAATCTATTTTTCTTAACAATGTTTTCTTTACAACATTACAAGAAGTTTTTCATCGCAAAGATCATCTCAAACATTCACCGGACTATTGATGGATTCCATAACTTAGCTTTGATGTATTACAAATCAAAATATTTGTGTTACAACTTCAATAATTATGGTGTTATTTATGTTACTGATGTAATACGTTGGTTATGGTGTTGTTCATGTTACAGAATTAATATTTATTAATATTTATGCAAAAATATTTATGCAAATACATGTGAAAAGCAGTCCTATTACACATTAATAACACACATACATTCCGATAACAATCTAATAACACATCCATAACACCTTAGTAACACATCGATAACACCTTAGTAACACAACAAATATCGAAAATAACACTATTATCAATACCGCGCCACACGTTAAACCGGTGTAACGTAGTCTGAATATTCCTTCCATGTTACTTTCCTCCTCGGTTGCGTTACTTTCCTTTCCATATGTGTTATGTTGTTGTTCTGCCATGTTATTTAAGACTTCCGCATCTGTTAAAGCTGGCGTAATGCGTTAGGAATATTCTCCCTGTGTTACTTATTTTGCGACTGCAGCATTCTTCATTACCACTGCGTTATTTTCACATTATACTACGTTATTAATATAATCAACGCGATTAAATCACGCGTAACGTGATCCGAATATTTTGTCTGCGTTATTATGCCTTCCCACTGCGTTATTTATCATTACCGTTGTGTTATTTCTCATTCCAGCTACATTATTTATCTTTTCAATGAGTATAAGAAGCGTGTTACGTGCTTAGAATATTCTCTAAGCGTTATTTTGGCTTCCCCGTGCGTTATTTAGCCATTCAATTGCGTTATTATGCCTTCCCTAATGCATTATTTAGTCATTCAACTGGTATATATTGCGTGTAACGTGATCCGAATATTTCGCCTGCGTTATTCCGCCTTCCCACTGCGTTATTTATCATTACCACAATATTATTTCCCATTCCAACTGCATTATTTATCTTTCCAACGAGTATAAAAGCGTGTTACGTGCTTAGAATATTCTCTAAGCGTTATGTTGGCTTCCCCGTGCGTTATTTAGCCATTCAATTGCATTATTATGCCTTCCCTAATGCATTATTTAGTCATTTAACTGGTATGTATCGCGCGTAACGTGATCTGAATATTCTGTCTGCGTTATTCCACCTTCCCACTGCGTTACTTAGGCATTCTACAGCGTTATTTATCATTACCACTATGTTATTTCCCATTCCAGCTGCATTATTTATCTTTTCAACGAGTATAAGAAGTGTGTTACCGGCTTAGAATATTCTCTAAGCGTTATTTTGGCTTTCCCGTGCATTATTTAGCCATTCAATTGCGGTACTATGCCTTCCCTAATGCATTATTTAGTCATTCAACTGGTATATATCGTGCGTAACGTGATCCAAATATTCTACCTGCGTTATTGCACTTTCCCACTGCGTTACATAGGCATTATACTGCGTTATTTCCCATTCCAGCTGCATTACTGCTTCCCCGTGCGTTATTTAGCCATTATTATGTCTTCCCTCTGCGTTATTTCTCATTTCCACTGCGTTATTTAGTCATAAATATATGCATATAAATAAAAATTACAACTTATGCATATAAATATATATTACTCAATAAAAATATATTATCAGAAAATATTCATTACTGAGTCAGAATATCGACATTATAACTCTTACTCTATACATTATTCCTCTTACTATATACAAAGGAAAGTTCAACAAATATGTCTTTAGCAAAATTAAAAAGCACAGTTCAACATCAGATGCAATCTCTTTCAGAAGAATATTTAAGATGTTGGCGAGCCCACATGCAAACCGCATATGCGAACTGCGCCCTAAATTGTACCATAACTTGCCAGTTTGAGTGTTGTTTTCATTCGATTGTACCAACTTGTACTAAGACTTCCATATACTTACATACAAAAATGCCGTAGTCGTGGCTGTTACTTTGGGTCGGAACATTTCGAGGACATGACATTTGTCATTTTTTTATGTCAGTTTGAAATACTCCTTCAATATTATTGGCAAAATGTTTGATCTGTAAAGGTAGTCAAGGAGTGAGCCATATATAAAATATTATTATTGTTGTTTATAATAAAAAATACTGAATTCCATATGTACATCATGTCAAATGGACTTACAAGTTCTACAACAACTGCTTTATGCATCGGGTTAGGCAGTGAGTCATATATTTTCCATTTTCTTCCTCTCAACTCCCCTACTAACAAAATCCAATGCTGACGATCAATTATAAGAAATAAAATGAGGTCATTATCTTTAACTGCTTCCTTTGTAATGCCCTCAGTTAATCCTGCCATAGAAGATTTTATCATCTTTAACATCTTCAAAAAAAGAAAAAACAGTAAGCATAATTTAATCAGTCTACAACGGAAGAGAAGTTTTCACAAAAATCGAATAAATTAAACATTTAGAATTACCATATACAGTGGGGACACATATATGTATTTTTTATATATTTCAAGTGATCATTTCCTTCTTTCAGCCAACATAGACATGTTTATTCCCGAACCACCGATTCATTAATATATCCTCAAGTGCACCATGCTCCAGTACGCCTGTCTCCCTGCTTAGGATGATATCATGTCTGCATCGTTAACAAAGAATGTTTGTTACAATCTAACATTAAACGAAATAGAAAATTTTTGTTACAATCTAACAAAGAATGTTTGCTTACACCCTAGGGTAGCTGACAATACATCTATCTATTATATCCTGCATTTCAAGTGGAAGCACTGATCTAGCAAGATAATCAAGTGGAAGTGTTGGACCCGCAACACGAGGCTACAACAAAATTGAAGACCCTTAACATATCAATGTATTTTCAATATATGATTAAGTGCAACAAAAAATAATTGCTAATACCACTATAGCATAGGCATATGGATTGAAGCTCTGGATCGACACATCTATCTCCTCTAGATTGGGATTTTCTTTATCATCAATAGATATTAGTGAATCTCTTGTCATTCCAGCAGAGCTATCTGGACTATGTACATCTTCTCATCATGTTGGCTCTCCAACTGAACCATGTACATATTCTCTTACTACTGGCTCTTCAACTAGACTATGCACATCTTCTCCTCCTGTTGGCTCTCCAACTTGACTATATACATATTCTCCTACTACTGGCTCTTCAACTGGACTGTGTACATATTCTCCTACAGCTGAAATGTTAGAGGGATCTGGATGGGACGACGCTATAATTTTTCCCTAAACAAAAAAATTAATGACATATTAACAGATAGAGATGTGAATAGAAATAGTTGTTTACTATATGGGCTAGCGACTCTAGAACACCCTTCAGTGATTGTTTAACCTCTTCCGAATCTTCCTGAAATGTCGCATCGCCCGTTATTCTTTCTGGAGACTCTCTTATTGTATCATCTCGATCTTTAATTTGTATAGTTATATTATCTTGATGTGGCTCAGCAAAAACAGTTATTTTCTTTCTTCTCTTTAGTTGGTATGTAAACTCAGGTGAACTGACTGCCCTTCTCCTTCTCTGGGTGGACTTAACACTTCAAGCAGAGGATCTGTGTGTTCCCGTTGTCTGTGCATCAACTTCCCTATCTGCTTTGGTTCTTTACAATCTTTCAACTATAGTAGTTATGTAATAACTCCCCAACATAAGTCATTTGCTGACTCATTGTGTTCATGGTTTTTTGTAATATAAGAGTAGACTTTTCTTGACCTTTCAATAGGTTGATTATTATTCTGAATTCTTTATTAGTTGTTGTACATGTCTCTTCCGGGGTGATCTCACCGGAAAAAAATTGGCCCACGCTATGGGATAATGGTGAAGATGGTCTGACAGCTGTTTCTAGATGTGGGACAACCCTGACAGGGCTAGGTAGTCCCTTTTCCGGGTTGGACAATAAGTTTTGTTCATCCTATTGCAAATTGATGAAGGAATCATTAACCTGCAACACCATAAAAAATGCCCATAATTAATTCCAAATCAATGAAATGAATGACTAAGTTAAACATTCAAAGTTTTCATGAAGTAAATGTTTCACCTTTGCACAACCAAGATTTCTGAATGCCTCATAAATCTCTACTGTTGTGCAACCATGATTTGTTGGCCACCTTAGCATGTGAGGCCTGACCTCCAGAACATGAGGAGCAAACACAGAGGTGTGCTCGTAAAACCATAGCTGCGGATGTCTCATATCAGAAAGTCTCATATCAGAAAGAGGAATTGTCTCATATCAGAAAGAGGAATGTAAAAACATATAAAACTACATCTGAATGAATATTATTTTTTGTAAACAATATGATACTTACAGTTAAAATCAAAACAAAACCCTAGATGTATCTCAACGACTGATTTTGTCTTAATTTGGCAGGGACGATGCTAACTTGATCGATGATGAAGTCACAAATTGCAGCGGGCCAGTTATAAGTAGAAAATAACTGTACATTTTCACAAAAGGAAAGAAGTCTCGTGGGCATGCTAAAATTGCTCGAGGGAAAAAATAAATTCGTTAGTAGAAACTTCAAAAATAACTGTTCAAAGTGGTGGAAGAACCTGCATAAAAAAACTTCATTAGTTGGTCCTTTATTTGTCTGACATCCACAAGATGAGGGAGTTTTCCTCCAAAAAACTGCCCGCCCTCTGTTAGGCATACCTAATATCAACAGCAAGTGGTTATGATGGAATTTTACTTCTTTCCCACCCATCTTGAAAACTCCCCTTTCATTATCCCAACATCTCAGAATGTGTAATGTCAACACATTGTCCTGTGGATATGGAGGCATATCAAAGAAGTGGAAGACATGCATTCCTTTTAATGAATTCACTGTCTCCTCTGATACGAGATGTTTAAAAGTATCCAAAGCACCTCTTACTGCAGATGAACGACACCTACAATTGAATGTCATTGCGTTCATAAACCTACAAATGAAAAGAATTAAAATAAGTACCATAAAAGACATTTTGAAAGAAATACAACACATATAACACCATGAAAGCCTTGAGATACACCCAAAATCAAAGCAATACAACTCATATACAATTATATTACACAACAACTAAAATAACACCAATTATATAACACCTAAAGCAAAGCCAAACAACACCTATACAATTTCAAAACACCAAATGAAAGAAAAATGGGCATTATTAACTGAATAACACACACTAACACAAAAATAACACCAACAATATTCAACTGTGTTATTCAGTTATTAATGAGTTTCCACGCATATAACACCAAGAAAGCCTTCAGTAACACCAAATATAAAAGTAATATAACACATATACAAATTCCTGACACATTAGCAAATGATAATTGGTGTCATGCACTCAATAACATCCACTTACACAATCATAACACACCCTAAACAACCAGTATGTCGTTCAGTGCCATTTCACACATCAGTAACGCCTAAAAGCAAAGTCATAAACCACATATACAACTTTAATACACCAGATGAATAAAACATCCACATTATTAACCAGAATAACATACAATAACACAACAATAACATACAATAACACACAATAACACAACAATAACATAAAAATAACACAACAACAACACATCAATAAGACAAAGAAAGCACAACAGTCACATGGCTATACATGGAGATATCACATCTATAACACATCTATAACACATCAATCACAAATGGATAACACAATAATAACACAACCCAATAAAAAATGAACGCTAACTTAGCAATAACACAAGGGATTCAGTACCTCGATGACTTTGGAGCACTCATCTTTTCTTCGGTTTGCTTGCGACCCTTACCCTTCATTTTTTGCAAATATCAAACCCTAAACCTCTAAACTTCAAACGAAGATATGGCTTTTCTGCTCTGCTGTGAACAATGGCCACCGTCTTCCGAACGAACAATGACAATCCTATAGAAACTCTAGCTCTGAAATGTTAGAGACGAACCGTCGAAACGGGGAAGCTCTACTCTCGAAACGGTGCTCTTTCGACTCTTCGTGCTCCTTTTTAACGCAAGTGTTTTCGTAACGTTTTTGGGTTAGGGTTGAGCTGGGCCGCGAATGTTTTTTTAACCAAAATTTCATATGGGCCCACTATGACCACATTATTCTCTTCTGAATGGTCCTCTACGTTAGGACTCCTGACCAAATACGAGCCCCTTTATTGGAGTATTCTTAACCATCTTTTATGATATTCAGAGGCGACAACCTCCTAAGAACAAAAAATTTTCAAGGATACCACTCAATATATATATATATATATAGATGTAAAAAGCGCTGTATGCGGTTATATGATTAATTTCTTTAATAGCTATTCTTAATTTGCAACAAAGTCAAAAACTTGATCCAAAGTAAAAGCTAGATAAATATTTCACTATGAAGCAAATAAGAATGTAGTTATAATATTTTAATGTGGAATACTACGCAAATCTATGTATCATCATCAAGTAATATAGAACCTTCTGATTAAGTTTTAAATATCAAACCCACAGGGAGAACTAGATTTAAATAACAAACTTTTCTTAACAATATATTATTACTTAAACTTAAGATGCTAAAATAGGAATGAAAGTTAGACTTTTTTTGAATTTTTTTATAATTGAAAATAAAGTAAGTAACTAATTAACTTAATTAAAATACTTGCAAGATGAATGTAATATAAATAAAATATCTTTTTCTTTATTATGAATTAGTGATATATATAGAAATTCTATTGTAAAAATATGCTAAATGTCTTATGCCAAATAGGAGCAATAATATTATTTTCCCTTACTAGAGATGCTATAACGAAAATTGGCTAATCTATAGTTTGAATATTCTTGAAAACCGGCTAGGTAGGGAACATACTAGCTCTCACTCTAGAGTTCCCTCTTCTCCCTCCACTCGGGGGCTAACATCTCGTATCAAAACCTAAAACTACAAATCAAATTAGGGGCTTTAGCCCATCACTCTAAAGTCCTCTAATTGTACACCCTTTAAAAGTTTATTTCCCTATTTATTTGCACTAAACCGCATGAACTACATTCTCATTCATGAAATCAATATATGATTCTAACCATTTGTTGACTGAGACAATACCATCTCAGGTATTACATGTTCTCACAATAGTTATTAACTTCTTAATTGGCTAAATTAACAAGTAAATGAAGTGCAAGGTTTCAAATCATCACAACTTCTTCCAAAATTGAAGCCTAATATTTAACACAACTTCCTTTAAATATTCAATCACGTATCATTTTAAGGAAAAAGATAAAGAAAAATACTCAGAATCCATGATGAAAACACAATCACATGAGTTTAAAAGTAGAAATCATGCACACAAATAAGAAATCTAAATTAAAACCACGTGTAGTCACAAAGATTAACACTTATCTCAAATCCCCTCCACAAAATGTCTTGAAATTCCTTTTAATTCTCTTCCTTCACTCAAAATACAAAATAAAAACTCAAGATAAAAAGAAAAGGTGGTCGGTGGTGGTTTACTTAGATGGATGATGGCTGTAAAGTTTGATGGGTGGCTGGCCCATCTACCTTTTAAACAAGGGCATAAATGTAATTTCCCTCTCCCCACTTTTTTCTTTATAAATAGAGAACCCTTGACATGTAAAAGGGGTCATTTATGCTCTCTCTCTCTCCCCCCTCATGTAAATGGCTTGCTCCCCTTCTCCCTCATTTGTAAACAAACT